TGCAGGATACAGGTCCTCGATTGAAGGCAGGTTGGTAGCCATTGTTTTTTCTGCAGTCCTAATTCCTCTCTGGAGTCTGTGCTTGTCCTGTTGGGTTGCAGAACCAAACCAGACAGTTCTAGGGGTGCAGATGATAGACTCAGCCATTCCTCTGTAGAACTGGATCAGCAGCGCCTTGAGCAGTTTGAGCTTTCTATCAGGCTGTCCGTCCGAGTCGGGGCCGGGATGCCTGTGGGATCTCCGCAAAGTGCGCCATTTAATGGGGAGAGAATCTGGGATCGGTTTGGTGCATAACCTTTGGGAGTCCCTGATCTCCGGGGTCCGTTGCCTCCTAGCCAGATGTTGAGCACTGCAGTCACTTTGAAGATGGGGCTTGTCTGTAGTTCATCCCTCAGCTCTGTCACACTGAGTGAACAAACCCGAGCAGGAAATGGGAGACTGGCACCTGCTGTTCCTATCCTCTCAGAGTTGGATTGCCACTGATTTTTGAATGGAATAATGACAGGCACCCACCCAATTGACCCATCACCGTGCAAGTCGTTCTAAGCAGCAGGTTTTATTCCCAGACTTAACTCTCCCCGCCGCAAATGGCCAAAATAGGTGAAAAGCACCAGCCATTTAATACCAGCAAATCGTAAAGAGCAGAGCGGGCACAGCGCTGAATGGGGCTTCCAAGGCTCTACAGCAGGGCTCTTCAAACTTGACAGCTTTAAGATTTGCGGGCTTCAACTCCCAGAATTCCTCCTCCAGTCATGTTAGCTCTTAAACTTGCCAAGTTTGAAGACCCTTGCTCTACAGTCAGTCAAAACAGCTGCTTGCTCCAGGGCTAGAGAAGCGGGGGAGGGCCACCTTAAGTCAAAGGAGGGTGGTGAAGGAAGGGCCGCATCCAGGCAGTTCAGCCCCGCTCTTCAGTGCCCACCCGCTATGGCTCCAAGCAGCCCTTCCTTTCCGTTCTTGGATTGGGCCCTTCTGCCTCCTTTCAGGGATGCCCACGGCTGTGGGGTGAGTGGAATGTGACCCTCCCTTTGGCAGCAGCAGATCCTCCCATCCTCCATCCCGCTGGGCCAGTGGCCAAGGGGTCCCGGTCTCAGCCAGGGGGTGCATCTCAGAAAGAGAGGGAGGGGCTTCCAGTTAGGGATGCTTCCAATTCCCAGGAGAAAACGTGGAGGCCCTTCCTTGGGCCGGGGCCTGCGGAGGACTCGGCCCACAGAGGTTGGAAGTTCTGGCTTGGCTCTACCATTCAGTGTAGGGGGGGCTCTGGGGGAGGGGGCAATACGGGACAGGCAAATTGCAACAGGATGCCTGCAAAGGATCCAGGTTACCCGGCTAGAGAGTCGAGTAGCTGCATCACAGTCCATTGAGAGAGATGTGCTCCATCTACAAACAACAAGCTGCTGTCCACCCTGAAAAACACAGACCACAACCAACAACAAAGCTCTGTGCACAGCCCAGAGGGTGGCGGGGGGGGGGGGGGGGGGGGTCCCAGGGCCACAAATACAGAGGCAGGCACAACCCTGCGCTGTTTGGCAAAGGGAAGAATAGCGTGACCCACCCTTTCCAGGGTTCCTGGCCGTCCTCCACGTTAATGGCCGAGGGGCTGCTGGGCATTTGTTGGGTGTTGCCGGATCTCTGGCAACTGCCACCCGCCTGGCCTGACTCCAAAGCAGGGCTCCTTCGTGGAGAAGGTCTCCCAAGGACAGGGGGCTTCAGGCAGGGAGACTTTGGCCTATTGGGACTCTTGGCACAGCTGCCACTGGCTCAGCCTTCCGGTTTCACTGGCAGCTTTGTAATCACGTGTGGCACAAACGGCGGCTGTTTTAGGGAGCAACCGAGGAGCTTGAAGCAAAGCACAAACAAGGGGGGGGGGGATTCCAAAGGCTACCAGAAGACTGACAACACCCCCCTCCCTGTGACAAGAATCTGTGGAAATACGGTGCAGGATGTCGTGGCGTCCACCACTGTCCACCGCCACCCAGTGCAACACACGTTTGGCAGCCAGAACAGAGAATATTTCAGGCAGAAAAGGAAAAATATCCCCATGCAGCATATTGAGAATACAGTCAATACGCAGCACATAATTTTCCACTTAGATAGTGAGAACCACGGGAGAAAAGCGTTAAACAGGAGTTACAGGCTGGGAGTGCTGGTAAATCAGGCCAAGGAATTAGCCCAAACCTTAGTGCAATGTCAGGGCAGAGGTGGCCTGGGCGGGGGGCCGGCAGAAGAGAAACTGGCACTGAAGGGCATTCCCTGGAAACCGGTTACTGCCTCAGCACTGAGTGAAACCCTCGGGAGAGGGATGAGGAGCGACCTACATCCAGACTCTGGGCCGCTGCCAGCTGCAAACAGAAGCAGGGCAGATGTCCTTGGCAAGTGGACCCAGCACCACCAGGGGATCCACTTCTGACTTAGGCTGGGTCCATCCAATGGAAGCCTTGCCCTGTTTGCAAATCCCTGCTTTTCATGGCAATGCCGGGCGAAATACTTTCTGGAATGAACTGTGGTGCTGGCGCTCGGAGGGAGGAATGACCGGAGGGTGGGCAGCATCAGCCAACTTCTTGCATTGGCCCCGACCAGAGGACCTGACTGAGGCGTTCTCTTCCCTTTGCCCCCCCAGGGCTCTTCCTCCTGCAGGTCCCGGGGCTGCAACCTCCATGGCAGAGGCCCAAGGGCACTCCGGCACTTCAGGGGGAGGCTGGCGAGGGGGCAGGGCCGGGGTAACTGTCTGCTCTGCAGCCCCTGAAGCCCCCTCCCCTGCCCATCGTTTATTGTGCCTGTCCCTCAGGTAGCTCACAGGGAGGCGGCAGGAGGTGGGGAGGGGATGCGGGATGGACGTTTTCCACTGGTGTCGCTCCAGGAGTTCACCCCCTCTGCCCGGACAGAGACCTGCTGGCTTGTTAGAGGGAGAGAGATGGGTGTGTTGTGTCACTAATCTTTGAGTGAGGGGGATTGTTTTCGTCCACCCCCTCCTCAGGAATTCATTGCTGGATCATTTTTGTCCAGTATCTCACCTCTTTTCGGAGAAGGTGGTTGAGAAGGGCTGCATAACAGCTTGAGAAGACCTTGGGTGGATCCCTTTCAGTCGGGATTCAGAGGAAGAGCAGCACTGGTTGTGGTTTAGGCGATCTCTGCTGCAGTCTTGACGGGATCCATCCATCTTTGCCCTACTTGACCTCTTTGGGGCTTTCTTGACCATCGACCACGGTATCCTTCTGGGCAGCCATGCCTGGTGCCGGCTCATCTCCTTTCTCCGGGGCCAGTTCCAGCTGGTGCTGCCTGTTGGGGGCAGAGATCCTGTCCTCTGCCCCTGCTGGGACGGGTGACCGAACACTCAATGGCTTCGCCTCTCCTTTCCAACACCCACACGGACCTCTGGGTGAGCTCATCCGTCACCAGAGGATGCCCCCATTGCGCATCCCTGCCCAGGTGAACTCAAACTATATTCGGGCACCTTATTTTGTCGTCTGCAGGGGGTGGGCTGGTTGGGGGAGAGCAGGCTCCGGCTGGCAAGGCTGGGTGGCTCTGGGATTGTGGACCCTCTGGTGACCTTCCCGATGCCATTCAGATACCCACCCCATGGGTGTGGGGAGAGGGCTTGATCCCGCAGGGAGGAGGCGATCGTGGCCATGCCTGGTGAGTGGAAAGTAGGGTCCCTGGTACGGTCTGCTTCCGATTGCGGAGGCTCTTCATGGGGGGGGGGGGGTGTCACTAGAAGGACCTCTGCTCAGAACAAGGGAAGCAGCCCTGGCCTCAGCCTGGCCAGCTTGCACAGCGGAGCGTTTCCTCAGCCGGGATCTGTCTCTGCGGAAGGGCTGGCCAGGCCGCTCTGGCTGACTTCCTTTCCCCTGAAGGCTCTGAGAGTGGGGCCAGGGGTGCACAGCCAGCACTCGCAGCCTCTCCCCATTGGCTGGAACCGGAGCGGGGAACCCATGGGGCTCGGATCCTGAGAATGAGCGGTGAGGCCTTGTGGGAGCACCTGGCAGTGCCTGTCCCGTAGGATTCCCACTCTGGATTGCCAGGCCAGGGGGATACCCGCTGCCTGGGAGGCTGAAGGGGCCTGCAAGAATGCTGCTGGCCACCTGGCCAGGGCCTCCAGGAAAGGAGGAGGGCACCTGGAGGGCACGGCTGTGACTGAGGGGGGTGCCCTACCCGACTCAGCCAGAGTGCCGAGGATGGCCCCGACTAGACGGGGCCGGAGCCCCACCAGACCGAGGAGGACGCCCCCAGAAGCGCCGCGGCTCCTGCCCCGCCCCCTCCTGCTCTGGTACCCTCTGCCGAGATGCAGTTCCTATGGCAACCACCCTCCCTCGACTCCCGCTGCAGCTGGGGGGCCGCCAAGGCCTTTCCCCACGCGGGCTAGGCCGCCTCCCAGGCGGGAGCGGGTCCACCCCTCGCCGCGATACCCACTCGCTTCTCCCCGCTCGGGCACTGCGGAGAAGCCGCAGCTGCTGCAGCTCCGAAGCGGGCTCGGCGGGCGCGACCATTCCACGGCGGCGGCGGGGGAGCGAGGCGGGGCACAGCCACCGTCCCGCCTCCTCGGCGGCCGAGCTACCCTCGGGCTCGGCGAGAAGAACGGGCGCCGGGCGCGAGTCCGCCTCTCGACACCCCCGCCGCCAGCAGTGGTACGCTCCGGCCCCACCAGCAGAGGGGATGCGGTGAGAAGCCCAGCCCGCTCGCAGCGCCGCCGCCACCGGGAGCGGCATCGCGGCCGCAAAGGGAGATGCGGGCTCCGCGCTCCGGACGCCGCCCGCGCTGACGCCTCCTGGCCGGGCAGCCCTTGCGGTGAGCGGCGGGCGGGCGGGCGCGCGCGCGGCCCCCGACTTGCAGGGCGGGAGCGCAGGCACCGTGCCCGCCCAGCCGAGCGAGCGAGCGAGCGGGCGGGCGGAGGAGCCATTAGGCCGGCCGTCGCCGTCTCCGCAGAAGGGCGTGGCGGCCGCCCTGCCTCGGAGAGCGTCCCGGGCCCGCCCGCCCGCCTCCCCGCCGCTGCCCGCCTCCCTCCAGGGAAGGGGAGGAGCCGCCCGCAGCTGCAGCCTCCGCGTCGAAAGGCCGGAAGCCCCCGGGCGCGGCCGGTGAGAGGCCTCCTCTTGTTCGCGGCGGGCGGAGCGGCGTTGTTGCGGGGGGGCGGCGGGCGGGCCGGGGGCCGAGGCGAGTGGCGCGGCGCATGCTCCGGGGAGGGGGGATGCGGCTCCGCGCCCTGCCACCTCCCGTGAGGGGAAGCCCGGCGGGGGCGCGGCCGCCCCTCGTCCTTGCCGTCCAGCGGGGCTGAGGGCCGGAGGGCCGCTTGTCTCTTCCCGGCCAGAGCAGCAGCCTCCAGCCGGCCCTCGCCATGGCCAAGCGCGAGTCCAGCTCCAGCCCGGTGGTGCGGCAGATCGACAAGCAGTTCCTGGTGTGCAGCATCTGCCTGGACCGCTACCACAACCCGAAGGTGCTGCCCTGTCTTCACACCTTCTGCGAGAGGTGAGGGCCGCGGCCCGCCCCCCCCCCCCGCCCGGCTCCGAGTTGGCGTCCGGCCAAGAGGCTCGCTGAGCAGATCCGGATTGGCGCGAGGGCGCTGCTTGGAGCAGCTCTTCCCTTCAACCCCCCTCCGCAGCCTGGGCCCCCTCCCTGCGAGGGCTGCCCGAGCGGCTGCGGTGACCGGGTGCTGCGCTTGGGCCGTGGATTATGCGTGGAGGGGGACCCACCCAAGTAGCATTGATGGAGCCAGTGGGCGTCTTTGCTAGCTGGGATCCCTGGCTAGGGGTCCTTACAGGCACCTGTGAAAAGCGTCCACAATATTGGAAGGCCGGAAGTTCCCCAGCCAGGGCCACACATCAGTTTGAACGCAGCCTTTTGCTGCGGAGGACATAAGAACCACTCCAGCACACAGTATGCAGACCCTTTGCCCTGCCAGGGGAGCCAGCCCAGAATACAGCCGGGAGTCCTCTCTCTCTCTCTCTCTTGTAAAGGGCCAACAGAGTCTCTCGCGCAACAGGCCCGGGTGGGGGGTGGGAGTGTCCCCTTCTGAAAGGTTTCCCTTCTTCTGCTGGGTTTTGTGGCTGTGCCTCCTACCTGCCAAGGTCACTCAGACAACCACAGCATAGGCAGGCTGCCAGGTCCCCAAAGGTCCTTAATGGAGCCAATGCTGCTCTTGAGAGTGAGGCCCCTTGGGTGACCCGGCTCTTTGACCATTGCTGACCGTTGGGCAGCCCCCTCCCCACCCCCCACCTTCCACTGTCAAGGAGACCCTTTAAACTTTGCTCAGAAGCAGAGGTGATTTGGCCTCCCATAGGTGGACAGTGCTGGTGATGTTGTCTCTGACCCCCTTCCGGGTTTGTCTGGGGCAGAATTTGCTAGCAGCTGGGCTGGTCCCTGAAGTCCCCCCCCCCCCCCCCCGAGCCAAAACGGGCCCCTTTGGTCCTGCCTTGGACAACCTCTCCACGGAGCCCTGAGTCCTGGCCAGGGCGGGCCAGCCACCCAAGAGGCTTGGCCAAACCCCCTCCCCCCCAGGGCTCAGCCCTGCACCTTGCCTGCACTTGGCTTTGAAGGCAGGTCCTGCAGAGCAGACGGGAGGGTGGCGGCTGAGGTGTTTCCGTGTGACCCGAGGCCAGTCCAGCGGATTGTCTGGCCATAAACGGAGAGGGAAGGTTTGTGGAGAGGGGAGGGAGGGGGAGAGGGGGAGGGGGGAGAGAGAGAGGGAGGGAGGGAGAGACCTGGAGCAGCTGGGCTCACTCTCCTCCAGCACCACATGGAGGGCTGGAAACTTGAGCATGCAAGAATTGGTGCGCTGATCCTCTGCCGGGCGTGTTGTGACCTTGTGGACGGACACCATCCTGCACACCGAAGCTGCAGCCGCCTTGGGGGTAGCTGCAAGGGAGAGGAGCCCACACAAGGGCTGGGCTGGAAGTCTCGAGGCAGTGGGCAGACCATGGCTGTCCATCCAAAAACTGGTTGGGGGAGCAGGCAGGCTGAAAGAGCAGGAGCCCCGAGCATGGGGACCGGCATGGGGACCACGGCTGGCTCCTTGGGGCACCCAGTGCCTGTCCTCTCCCCCCCCCCTGCCTGGCCAGCCTCTGCCTTCTGCCATGGGCTGGTGCCCAGCTTGACTCGCCTCTTGCCCCCTTGACCAGGTGTCTGCAGAACTACATCCCTCCCCAGAGCCTGACCCTGTCCTGCCCCGTCTGCCGCCAGACCTCCATCCTTCCCGAGAAGGGGGTGGCCGCCCTGCAGAACAACTTCTTCATCACCAACCTCATGGAAGTACTCCAGCGCCAGCCAGACAGTGCCGGCCATGAGGATGCCATCGCCATGCTGGACTCTGCCAGCGCAGTGCCGGGCAAGCCGCTCTCCTGCCCCAATCACGAGGGGAAGGTATATGTGGGGCTCCCACTCGTGGGGAGGATCAGTGGGGTGGACTTCGGCAGCCCCTCTTTCTGCCCCTTGGCCCAGGAGCTCCCTGGCCGGCGGGAGGGTGGGTGAGGCGTCCACACCTCTGCCTTCTTTTCCAAAACCAGAGGGTGCTTCCTGGGGGCGGCCATGCTGGCTGGGGATTGGGTCTTCTGTTCCAGGGCTTACCAACTCCCCCGTCTGCCCCCAGACCATGGAGTACTACTGCGAGGCCTGTGAGACGGCCATGTGTCATGAATGCACAGTGGGGGAGCACCGGGAACACGTGACTGTGCCTCTGCGGGATGTGGTGGAGCAGCACAAGGCCTCGCTGCGCCAGCAGTTGGACGCCATCAAGAGCCGGTATTGCCCGGGTGGGCTGCCCGCAGCTGCAGGTCCAGCTCAAGGGTTGGGGGGCTGTTACTCTGTTGCACAGCCCACACTCCTAACAAGGGCTCCTCGTCTCCCAGACTGCCACAGCTGGCTGCAGCCGTGGAACTCGTGTCTGGGATCAGTCAGCAGCTGGCGGAGCGCAAGAACGATGCCGTGGCAGAGATCGGGAGCACTTTTACGGAGCTGGAGAAGGCGCTGGGGCAGCGTAAGGGGCTGCTGGTCCGAGATCTGGAGGCCCTCTGTGGGGCCAAACAAAAGGTAAACCCAGGGAATTTGGGGGGGTTCCTCTTCTGGGATGCTGGCAGCCCCCCCTTGCTTCTTCCCCCAGCTTCAGAAGACACACGGTTGACAGCCTTGGCTCCATGGGCAGAGCCTCCCAGGCCAGGAGGGGGCTCTCGCCCTGGCCGGCACTCCACTGCTCCTGCGCAGCTAAAGGGTGGCCGTTCCCCCATCCGGCTCCTGGGGGGTCTTGGCTGGGCAGGGCTGAGCCTCTTCTTCCCTGGCTCAGGTGCTGCAGGCCCAGCTGGAAGTCCTGCACCAGGGCCAGGAGAACATCCTCAGCAGTTGCAGCTTCACCGAGCAGGCCCTAGACCACGGCTCGGAGATGGAGGTGCTGCTGGTGAAGAAGCAAATGACCGAGCAGCTGAGTGAGCTGGCCAGTCGAGAGTTCCCTGAGCAGCCCCACGAGAACGCCCAGGTGGACTACGTGGTGGAGACGGAGGGCGTGCGCAAGTCCATCCTGAATCTGGGTGTGCTGCTCACCACCAGCGCCATTGCCCACAAGACGGTGGCGACAGGTGAAGGCCTCCGCCATGCGGTGGTGGGACAGGCCGCCTCGCTGACCATCACCACCAAGGACAAGGATGGGGAGCTGGTACGCAATGGCAGTGCCTGCCTGCGGGCTGAGGTGGCAGCACCTGACAACTGCGCCCTGGAGCATGAGGTGCAGGACAACAAGAATGGCACTTACGAACTGCTCTACACGCCACGCCAAGAAGGCGACCACATCCTTTCCATATGCCTCTATGGGCAGCCCATCCGCGGCAGTCCCTTCCGGGTCAAGGCTGTCAAGGCCTCTGATGTGCCCCCCTCCCCAGATGATGTCAAGCGCCGTGTGAAGAGTCCCAGCAGTGGCCATATCCGCCAGAAGGCAGTCCGCCGCCCCTCCAGCATGTACAGCAGTGGCAAGAAGAAGGAGAACCCCATTGAAGATGAGCTGATCTTCCGTGTCGGTCAGTGCCCGGGTGGGACAGAGGGCATGAATGCCGCTGTAGCTCCTGGCTGGCTTGGTGGCCCCTCCTGGTCTCACTTGGTGCCCCTCTCTTGGCAGGAAGCCGGGGCCGGGAAAAGGGTGAATTCACCAACCTGCAGGGAATCTCCACGTCCAGCAGCGGGCGCATCGTGGTGGCAGACAGCAACAACCAGTGCGTGCAGGTAGGAGCAGCTCCTCCACAGGCCCCAGGGGTGGCTGCCCAGGACCCCTTCACAGGTGCTCTCTCCCCTCCCCCCGCCCACCAGGTCTTCTCCAATGAGGGCCAGTTCAGGCTGCGCTTTGGTGTACGGGGACGTTCTCCCGGACAGCTGCAGCGCCCTACGGGGGTCACAGTGGACCTTAATGGTGACATCATCATCGCAGATTATGACAATCGCTGGGTCAGCATCTTCTCTCCTGAGGGCAAATTCAAGGTGAGCATCTGGGGAGGCAGATCTGATTTGCAGGTTGGGGTCTCTGGTGGTTTTGGTGGTCCCCATCAGTTCACGGACTGGAAGCCTGCCATCTGCCTTTGCCCAATGTTGGGCCAATCCTCTGGCTGATTCTCTTCAGATACGTTGGGTTTCCGTTCTCGTTGCCTGGAACGGAGTGGGCGGTGGGACTTGTGCTGCAACCCATGTTGGTTGGGGAGTGTTGGTCTGGTTTTTGGCTGCAGTGGGGACTGGGGAAGGCTGCACAGCCCTTGTGCCTGATCCTGTAAAGGGAGGAGGCTGCCAGATGATCAGGGCAAGGGGTGAGGAGGACCTGCTTCCAGCGCTGACATCCATGTGGTGATGCCTTGGAGTTGGCACATGCCCTTATGCCTTCCTCCCCAGACCAAGATTGGAGCCGGGCGGCTGATGGGCCCCAAGGGTGTGGCGGTGGACCGCAACGGGCACATAATTGTGGTGGACAACAAGGCATGCTGCGTCTTCATCTTCCAATCTAATGGGAAGCTAGTAGCCAAGTTTGGGAGCCGTGGCACGTCGGAGCGCCAGTTTGCAGGTGCCCCAAGTTTTTCTCCTTTGCCTCAGGCCCAGTTGGGAAGTCACCCTCTCAGGGCCACCTTCGCCCTGCCCGTGAGAGAGTGGCATCGGAGGAGGGGACTTTCCCCTGACCCCTCTGTGGGCGCTTGCCTTCTATTGCCACCTGCAGGCAGGTGGGTCCTTCCAGATGCTACAACCCTTCTTTGGGTTCCCCGGCAGATGGGTGGTGAAGACGACTCCCTCTTGGCAGCTTTGGGAGCAGTGGGCATGCCGGGGCAGGCAGGGGTGGCTTATGCCCCCAACCAGCCCATCCCCAAACTGGAGCAAGGGCCAGCAGGTGGCCTGCTCTGCCAGCATTTCTGCTGGGTCTTTGTGGAGGCAGCGCCTGTGGCTGCAGCCGCTCTCCCTGGCCACATCTCTCTGGCTCTGGACACTCAGCCTGGCTGGGCTCCTCCTGGGCTGCCTTTGGCCCAACGCTCCCTGTTGCTGACCTGGAGCCTCAGCTTGTTGTAAGCCTTCGGAGATTTGGGCGGCTTTCTCAGCCAAATAAGACTTTTTTGGGGGTGGGTGTGTTTGGGGTGGAGAAGCTGGAACTTTGTCTCTTGTTATCTTCAGGATCGGCAACAGCGCCTGGTCTCCCTGGCCTCCGATGATTTCAGGTCCTTCCCAGGGGCTCATTCCTCCTTGCAGCAGCTCCTCCTCGCTGTGGGGCACTTCTCACTTCTTTCCTCCCATTTACTTTGCTCAGGACCACACTTTGTGGCTGTCAACAACAAGAGTGAAATTGTGGTGACCGACTTCCATAACCACTCTGTGAAGGTGAGAGGGGTCCCCAAAGGGGATCGATGAGATCTGCCGCTGTGAGAAAGGCTTGGTTGGGGCCCTCAGCTGCTGCTGTGACTTATGGGCCCCAGCTCCCCTCCCCCCAGCACTTCCCCTGCCTTGAGGAGAAACGGTCCGGCGCTGAAGCCGGGGTGGGGTGGGGAGGGGATTCTTGGGCCCCACTCGCTATGGGGAGGCTCCATGTTTGCTGGGGAGGGGGAAGCTCTTCTCCCAAAGCCGGGCCCTGCGCCTCTGGTTCCTTTGCAAGCCCCTCTCCCACGTCACCCAGTAGGCAGCTGGAGGCAGGGGCTGGGCCACGCTGGGCCTGGGAAGCTCCACCAAGCCCTCTTCCTCCCTGTCCTCAGGTCTACAGTGCGGATGGAGAGTTTCTCTTCAAGTTTGGCTCCCACGGCGAGGGGAACGGGCAGTTTAACGCTCCGACGGGCGTGGCTGTGGATTCCAACGGGAACATCATTGTGGCCGACTGGGGGAACAGCCGGATCCAGGTGATTGGTGGGAGCTGGGCAGTTCGGCCTCTTCCTCCTCAGCAGCCAGCCTGGGGGTGAAGGCCAAGGGCACCTGATGTGTTTGGGGGGGGGGGGCGCAGAAGTGGTTCCAGGGCCAGCTGGCGCTACCTCTTGAGTTGCCGCTTAAATCAGGGCTGAGCCCGTTCATCCAAGCAGAGGCCGCGTGCCTCTTTTGGGGTCCTTCATGGGCCCCCAGGCAGGGGGTTCTAATGATCCAGCAACCTCTTCCCAGGGTCCCTTGAGCTACGGGGGATGAAGGCAGTGACTTCCTTGGCTCTCACTCCTGAGGGTGGTGCTCTTGCTGTGTGGTCCTTCGTGCCTGGATGCAGCCACTACGTGGCATGGGGCTTCCCTTCTGCCACTGCTCAGCGATACCCCACTCCTGCAAAATGGGCTTGAGCACCTTGCTCCCGGGTGGTGGGAGTGGAGTGGGACTCCTGACTGGGGAGGGGCTCCAGCCCCTAATTATTCTTGTCACCCTTTCCTGCCCCTCCTGAACGAGGCACGTGGCTTTGAGAGGTAGGGAGCGGAACTGGCCACTGGAGTCCATGGGCAGGGAGTGCCCCTCCTCTGCCGGCCGGGGTGGCAGCGCCGCCTCCGAGAGAGCTCAGGGCCCCCTCCTCTCTTCCAGGTCTTCGACAGTTCGGGCTCCTTCCTGTCCTACATCAACACCACAGCGGATCCCCTCTATGGGCCACAGGGCTTGGCGCTCACCTCGGACGGACACGTGGTGGTGGCCGACTCGGGCAACCACTGTTTCAAGGCTTACCGCTACCTGCAGTAACCCTGGTGGGGCAGGCTGGAGGGGGGGGCTCTCAGAGTCCCTTCTGGCCCGCCTGCTGGACTATGCGCTTGGGGGCAGGCTGGCCCTCCACACCAGGTTGGGGGCTCTGGCAGCTGTGTGTGAAGGTGCCAACAGCCACAATGGCAGCTACGCAGCACCGGGATGGCTGCCAGGGGGTGGGGGTGGCCCCACAGTCTCCCCAAAAGCTGACCTTTTCCACAGCGAGGGGGGAGACCCTCCCTACGGGCACCATGCAGCTCTTGCTTTTATGGCTCTGGGGTCTTGCCCAAGCCCCCCAAGTAGGAATCCCCTGGAGTCTCCTGGCTCCACCCCCGATCGTCCTTTCCGTTTTTTTCTGCACTTTATCATTGCCCAGAAAGGGGCCAAAGCAGTCCCCCCTCCTCTTAATAGAAGGCCGGCCAGTCACCCAGCTGCAGGGACGGGTGGGTGGGTGGGTAACCCCTCGCCCAGCTCCAGAGACTGTTTCTGGATGACTTCCTAGCAATTGGGGCTCCACAAGAAGGCTAGGCCCCACCCCCTTGGCCATGGGGGGGTCCTCTTTACCCCCCCCTCTCCATTTTCCCTTCTGGTTGAATTTCGGGTCTAGCCAGCGATTTTTCTGGGGAAAAAGCCCTTGGGGGGCCGGGGGAGCAGCCAGAGGCTGGGAAAGAGCTGTTATTTTTTTGGGGGGGGGGGGATGCAGTTTTCCCAACCCCTTGGAAGTGCCCCTCCCCCACAGCCTGGCTGACGGTGCCGACCCAGCTCAGCAAGTCCCCAAAGAGCGCCAGCTGTGCCCTCCTGTCCCTGGCTTTCCACAGGCCCCGCCCCTTCGGCTGAGCAGAGGCAGCCACGCGCTCGTGGAATTATGTACAAACAAATAAAGTATTCTGAAAATAAACCTCCTCTCTGTCGGGAGGGGGGGGAGGGGGGAGGCCGCAGCTGCTCCTCGCCCCGCTGCAAGAACGGGGGGGGGGGCTGGAACC